TTAATGTTAATCCCTTTGATACTTGTTGAACATATCTACCGTCTATCGGACCGTATCAAATACTGATACACCAGTTTTTTTTTCATGTACCGGTGTTCAAGAGTTTTTATAGTAACATTGCAGGCCTATTTTTGTGATTTTACTTTGTCATTCTGTACTGACACTATTACCGTTGTTATTGGGATCATTATTGAGCCTTCAGTAATTAAGTGTTGATGACATGGTCAAAATAATAATAAATGATTAAATGCTGTGGACCCAAGGCTTTTGTCAGTCGCAAAGGATCAAGCTTGTTTAAAAACAATTGAGTGGTAGAAAGCTCCTTTTTGTTTTTGTGATCATGTTGTTCCAGAAAATTAATCATGATTGCTCTGTTTAGGTTATCACCCTTGACATGGGGCTCCTTGTTGCTGGTACCAAGTACCGTGGAGAGTTTGAAGAAAGGCTGAAGAAGCTTATGGAAGAAATTAAGCAAAATGATGATATTATACTTTTTATTGATGAAGTGCACACGTTGATCGGAGCAGGTGCAGCTGAAGGTGCAATTGATGCTGCTAACATCTTAAAACCAGCTCTTGCAAGAGGTGAACTGCAGGTAATGTACCTGATTTCAAATTCCATTGCTGCCATTGTTCTGTGTTGGTCACATTTCTGGTTTAGTCTTCTTCTTACTTCTTACGAAGCCTTTGATCCCAAACAAGTTGGGGTAGGCTAGATATGAAACCCTTTCACGAGGACTTCCCAGGAGGTCACCCATCCTAGTACTACTCTCGCGCAAATGGGTTTCATACCCAAAAGACTGGCTAGTTTTTACGTTGGCTCGCCAAGCCTATCACAACCCTTAGATATGAAACTCTTTCACAAGGACTTCCCAGGAGGTCACCCATCCTAGTACTACTCTCGCTCAAATCGGTTTCATACCTATGGGACTGGCTAGTTTTTACGTTGGCTCGCCAAGCCTATCACAACCCTCCTCCTTTACCCGGGCTTGGGACCGGCTATGCCTAGAAGACATAGGCGGAGTTATTTCTGGTTTAGTCTGATAAAGTCAAAAAGACCTCACCTAGGCTGGATCCAGAAAGCAGTTTCTTCCAGTTGACAAGCCATGTCTACAACAAGAAAGATGAGCTGCCCCTAGTTTTAACATTTCTGATACTGTTCTATCTTTCAGTGCATTGGTGCCACAACACTGGATGAGTACAGGAAACATATTGAGAAAGATCCTGCTTTGGAGCGAAGGTTTCAACCAGTCAAGGTTCCAGAGCCCACTGTTGAAGAATCAATACAAATCTTAAGAGGACTTCGTGAGAGATATGAACTTCATCATAAGCTGCGATACACAGATGATGCTTTAGTTGCTGCTGCGCAGTTATCATATCAGTATATCAGGTTTGCATCATACTTCAATTAATTTGATTGATGCTTAATTTTTTGGTATAATATTGTGTCAATACCAATTCTGGTGCAGCAATTATTTCTTAGGTATTAGCTGTATATATGTATAATATTGGGAGTGTGTATGATTTTGTCATCTCTTGTGGTTTTGTTGTCTGAATTGTTCACTGATGTGTAGCATCAGCTTTATTACCTTTTTACTGGATAAGTTGGGTAGGCGAGGGGCTTGCATTGGTGTATCTCATTATTTGGTTATCCATCATGAAAGGGTTAATTATCCTGGCTTTTGCTGAAGTTCCCAATGTGCTTCACGCTCCCATTGCTCTAGACGCTATAGAAGTGTTATAAATGATATAAATTGTACTACCCCTGTCTCAAAATATAAGATGTTTCTACAAAAACGTCTTATATTTTGAGACGGAGGTTTCACCCTTAATCTGCTAAGGTGTCACTGTCTGCACAACAATAATTTAATTGCAATAAGTCTTGACTATAATTTTTTGTTATCCTTGACAATGGTTGACTACACATGCGCGGTGATTATTAGCCCTCCTAGATTAGAATCTTAGTTCTAGTTATATATTTAGATTATATGGACAGTGTATATTTTCCACTTTATATTTTGGTAGTAGAGTCAATAATCTGATTTGTCACTGTAATGAACATGTGTTATTTTTGCTGTTTCTGTAGTGACCGCTTCCTGCCTGACAAGGCTATTGACTTGATCGATGAAGCGGGGTCCCGTGTTAGGCTGAGGCATGCACAGGTACTGACTCTGAATAATTGTTATCCCAGAGAGCTTGCTTCACGACCTTGTTTTTGTTTAACCATCATCCCTTACATTACAGCTACCTGATGAGGCCAAGGAGCTGGACAAAAAACTTCGCCAAATAACAAAGGACAAGAATGAGGCTGTGCGTGGCCAAGATTTTGAGAAGGTATACATAGATTCTGAGTTTTTTTGTGAAGGTTCCTAAATGGCTTGCTTTAGTAGGATGCTAATGTTGTTTTACTTGCAAGTTTATTGGTTCATTTGGCTATATTTATTGTTGTTTTACTTGTAAGGTGCCTCTAATCATAGCCTATAAGCCAGCCTTTTCTTCCTTGTTCTGTTTGTGCAAAATTAACCATTGTTGTTTCTTCCGTGTTATCTTACTGTTGTTTATTGGCAGGCCGGGGAATTAAGAGACGAGGAAATGGAGCTGAAGGCCCAAATTACAGCCATTATTGACAAGAGCAAGGAAATGGTTAAAGCAGAGACTGAATCCGGTGAAGTTGGCCCTCTTGTCACAGAGGCAGATATTCAACACATCGTCTCATCATGGACTGGTATACCTGTGGAGAAAGTCTCATCTGATGAGTCTGACCGCCTACTTAAGATGGAAGAGACTCTCCATACACGTATCATTGGGCAGGATGAAGCTGTCAAAGCTATTAGCCGTGCTATCCGCCGTGCTCGTGTTGGCCTCAAGAATCCAAATCGGCCCATTGCTAGCTTCATATTCTCTGGACCAACTGGTGTTGGTAAATCAGAATTAGCAAAGGCTCTGGCATCCTACTACTTTGGCTCAGAGGAAGCCATGATCAGATTAGATATGAGTGAGTTCATGGAGAGACATACGGTCTCCAAACTCATCGGATCACCTCCAGGTTATGTTGGCTACACTGAGGGAGGTCAACTAACAGAAGCAGTCCGCCGCCGTCCATACACAGTTGTTCTCTTTGATGAGATTGAAAAGGCACATCCAGATGTCTTCAACATGATGCTTCAGATCTTAGAAGATGGGAGGCTGACAGATAGCAAGGGACGGACAGTTGATTTCAAGAACACACTGTTGATCATGACATCGAATGTCGGAAGCAGTGTCATCGAGAAGGGAGGCCGGAAGATTGGGTTTGACCTTGACTCTGACGAGAAAGATACCAGCTATAACAGGATCAAGAGCTTGGTGACCGAGGAGTTGAAGCAGTATTTCCGGCCTGAGTTCTTGAACAGATTGGATGAGATGATTGTGTTCCGGCAGTTGACAAAGTTGGAGGTGAAAGAGATCGCTGATATTATGCTCAAGGAGGTGTTTGATAGGCTCAAGGCAAAGGAAATCGACCTCCAGGTAACAGAGAAGTTCCGGGATAGGGTTGTTGATGAAGGTTACAACCCGAGCTACGGTGCCAGGCCTCTGCGACGCGCCATTATGAGGCTTTTGGAAGACAGTCTGGCTGAAAAGATGCTGGCTGGCGAGGTCAAGGAAGGTGATTCTGCTATTGTTGATGTGGATTCGGATGGTAAGGTGGTAGTTCTCAACAGCGGGGGTGGTATTGCAGAGCCGCTGGAGCCTGCTCTGAGTGCCTAGTTGGGTACACCATCTTTTTATTTCGTTATCTCAGCATGGGGTCCTGGTGATGGTACCTAGATTAATATCACTGCCCTTTCAGTTATGTGTTCTCTTCCTTTTTTGTCTCTCCTCTTTCACTCTCTTGAAGTTCGAAGTTTGAAGCGAGGCACTAGAAATTGTTATGTAAACGAAACAAACATAGATGCATGTACGAGCAAGCTGTATGCCAGTATATCTTTTGAGTTCTGTTTTCTTTTTTCTTTTTGAGGGTAGTTGCTCTGTTTCTGAAGAACAGTTGAAGGCTTCATTTACCTGCACTTACTTGCTTTGTACTGTACTCCCTCCTTCCATGAATAAGTGTATCTCTAGCTTTTGTCATAAGTCAAAGTTTTAAAATTTTGACCAACTTTATAGGGAAAAGTAGCAGCATTTATGGCACTACATTAGTATCACTAGATCCGTTTTGAAATGTACTTTCACAATATACCAATTTGATGTCATATATGTCACTATTTTCTATAAAGTTGGCCGAAATTTGAAAACTTTGACTTAGGACAAAAGGTAAGGTAGATGTACACTTATTCGGAGGGAGTATTGTTTAGGTGCGACTAGAGAGCTAATTGAGGACGTGCATTTCCCAGTCTACCAAAATAAATCATCTCCGTGAAACGGCAAACAAGAAATAATAATGAGGCAGCTTCCTGTCAAAACAGCTGGCCTGTGAAGCAGGGAATGGTCATCCTGGAAGCAGGGGTGTTTGCTCATTTAATCCGAAAGCGCCGTGGTTTAATCGCTCGCTCTCTGCAGCCTAGAAGCATCAATATGGACTTGCACGTCCCACCCTAACCATACAAATTTAGCCAGCAAGCGAAATTTATCCTCTGATATTTTCTTCGTTCCTCTTTCCTCTCTACATATACGACCCTTCACGGTTCTGTACCCGAGAACACTACTGCTTCAGTCGTGTCGGATCAATAAGATCATGGGCGTCTTGGATCACCTCTCCGATTTGTGCAGCATGACAGACACAAAGGCAGCCCTCAAGCTCAGGAAGAGGCGGCCGATGCAGGTGAGGCTTGTGGATTTTTTTTCTAGTACGCGTGTGCTCTCTTGTTTTGCTTGGAAACAGTTTCAACTTCTCATCTCATGAGATGACCGATATAGTTTTTTTTTTGCCATTTCGTTGAGTTATATAAACACGTGATTAACTCGAGTAGTTTGTGATCCGCAGACGGTAAACATCAAAGTGAAGATGGACTGCGAGGGCTGCGAGAGGAGGGTCAAGAACGCCGTCAAGTCGATTCGGGGTACACACATACATACTCCTACATACGTAGCGATAACCAGAAATGGAATAACACCAAGCAATCTAAAGTTTTCGTTGGGAGTGGTTTTGTGAAGTTAATTTCTGCTGATGAGCGTTTCATATCCTGTATACGTTGATGCCAAAGGTGTGACGGCCGTGTCAGTGAACCCCAAGATGAGCAAGGTGACGGTGACGGGGTTCGTGGAGCCGAGCAAGGTGCTGGCGCGGGTGAAGAGCACCGGGAAGGTGGCCGAGATGTGGCCCTACGTGCCGTACTCGCTCACCACCTATCCCTACGTCGGCGGCGCCTACGACAAGAAAGCGCCGGCGGGCTTCGTCCGCGGCGCTCCGCAGGCCATGGCCGACCCCGGAGCGCCGGAGGTCCGGTACATGAACATGTTCAACGACGAGGACGTCAACTCCTGCGCCATCATGTGATGATACCGACCCATCTTGACGATCTCCACCCTAGCCAGACGCCAGCCACCCAGAGACCACGCGGCCTAAGATACCATCACAGTCGCAGAATAGGCTATTGATTCTGCATCCAGCCACGTAATATAGTAAATCTACGCGTGTACGATTTTGTGTGGCTTGTTCATGTCAGATGTAATTATAATTTCATGGTAAAGGGTAAAGTAATATTATGAGTTTTTCTTCTTCTTTTGAGAATGAAGTAATATGAACTGGTTGCCAATTTCATGGCAAAGGGTAAAGTATTACTATGATTTTTTTTTTGCGAATGAAGTAACATGAGCTCGTTGCTTGTATTGTAGCACATCTCTCAGTATGTCGGCATTTTGGGGCATCTCGAACGCTAATCACCAAATGGAATCATCATCCATAGACATGCCCCGGCATGTCCACGAACCGGGGCCTCAAAATTAAATGCCAACACACCTGACACGACAATCTCATCACTCACATGCACCACTTGCCTGACGTTCATGGGAGAGTGAAAGGCAGTAGCATCCAAACCTCCATGATCCATGAAGGCAAGCTGGCTAGCTGGGTCTAAGGTCTAACTGTGGCCGAGAGGGTGTTGTGGCCACCACCAAGGCCAGAAGTGAGCCCATCTCCGGAAGCACCGGATACAAAGCGGGCTCCCCACATAGTCCATACAACTCGGACATGATCTGCAACACACAAGCCACGATTTCGACGATGCCCTCTCTCCCAAAGACGAGTTATTTATCCAAAACCACCACATTTAGAGCTAGGATAACAACTTGATACCACATTTGAGTCAGGGCAAAAAAACCACCAATTCTATGCCTAACCAATAACGCGGACCACTAATCGTCGGTTGAGCTCATGAAAACAGCGGACCTGGCAGGTTGGGTCTACCTGTCAGGCTAAGTTGGCATGCATACGTGAACAAATATTCCAAGTTGGACATGGGTCCAACCTGTCAGCCTCCCATCTCTTTTCTTCTTCCTCCTACTCTATCTCTTCACTATTAGGGAAAAGCTTATAGACAGACGCTTACTAGTAGCACGGATTTATAACCCTCGCTACTGCTACTTAGTAGTAGCGCGGGTTTTTACCCCTCGCTACTACTAAGTTGATACTAGTAGCGCGGGTTTTTAACCCGCACTACTACTAAGCGGTCTCTACCGTGCCCTCCCGGGACATGTCATAGTAGTAGCGAGGGGTACAAACCCGCGCTACTACTAAGTTGATAGTAGTAGCGCGGTTTTATACCCCTCGCTACTACTAAGTACGAGGTAGGTGAAATCCCCATATCCTCGGCCGAATCCTTCCTCTCTCCCTCACTTTCCCCCTCTCTCACTTTCCTCCTCTCTCCCTCGTACTCCAGCAGTGGCCGCCGCTGGTACACTCTGCTTTCTTCCCCCTCCCTCTCCAAGATCCCTCTGGTGGGAGGTCGCCAGAGCTCCTCGCCGCCGCCAAGATGCGGAAGCACGACCTCGGCATCCTCCTCCTCGCCGCCTTCGCCGTCTTCTTCTCGCTCCAGGCTAGCCCTCCTCCTCCCCCCCTCTTCGATTCGATCCGAAACCCTAGTTGACCCATCCCCATCCTCCTCCGTCGCTCTTCGCCGACCTCAACGGCGACGGCCATCGCGAGGTGCTGCTCCCCACGCACGACGCCAAGATCCAAGCCTCCGCGGCCTCCACGAGGCGCGCGTCATGGCCGAGATCTCCCTGCTCCCGGCCAACGTGCGCGTCGCCTCCAGCCGCCGCCCCGTCGCCATGGCCGTCGGCGCCGTCGACCGAACCATTGACACTACGCACGGGGTCGAGATTTTTTTTAGTTTTTCAAATTAATAGTAGTAGCGCGGGTCACAGACACGCGCTACAGATAGTTAGTAGTAGTAGCACGGGATGCACCGCGCTACTACTACTAGTTAGCTGTAGCGCCGTAGTAGTAGCGCAGGCACCCGCGCTACTACTAGCTTTTAACCCGCGCTACTACTAGGCTTTTTCCTAGTAGTGCTTCCACGATACACTGCCGTCGGGTAGTGGAGGTCGGACGGCTCACTCCCCCTTCCTCTCCGTCCTGTCGCCTGATCCAGTGAGGGCCGTCACGGCGCGTCCCCGCATCTGCCTCCGGTGACCGGATCCCGTCGGCCACCTCCTTCCCCACTTAATCGTCCTACAGATCCTCACCTCCCTTCGCCGGACCCCGTTCCCGAGCAGTCGGCCGTCGCGCCATTCTTCCTTGGCTCCGGTGTCCACGTACAGCGGCTGGTGCCATCATGGAGAGCAGCATGAAGGACGGCCAGGCGTCCATGGTGGAGCGCACTGACGATGCCGGAACTGCTGTGCACCCGGCCGACGATGCCACGGCGGCGTGCTGGAGGCCCTGTCAGTGCCCGTGCTGGCGCATGCCGTGGAGGGCATGTCCGGTCGCGACCACGAGTGAGCCATTGACGCCCTGGCGGCCATCTACGACAGGGAGGACGTGGGCACATGGTGGGCATGGTGCACGATGAGTGCTGCGTACACGGGAGGCTAAGGGTGTTGGGAATCGTTGCATGGAAAACAAATTTTTTTCTATGCACACGCAATGATCTATCCATGGAGATGCATAGCAACAAGGGGGAGAGTGTGTCTACGTACCCTCGTAGACCGTAAGCGGAAGCATTTCTTAACACGCTTGATGTAGTCAAACTTCTTCGCGCTTTAACCGATAAAGTACCGAACGCGCAGCACCTCCGCGTTCTACACACGTTCAGCACCTGATTGCATAACCAGAAGGTTCGGAAGGTTCCCCTGTATCCCCAACACCTGATTGCATAACCAGAAGGTTCGGAAGTTTCATAGGTGGGAATTCTTGTAGCTCTAGTTCTTCTTCCGCGGATATTTGGTTTGGGATTGGTTAATCCTCACCAAGTATTCGTTCTTGCCCGTACCTTGTTGGTTTTATTCTTCTACCTCAATTCTAAGTGGCTTCTCAATTTATGGAAATGTGACCATTTCAATTGGAATGCATTCGTTCATTTTGTTCGGATGTGAAGACTATATGTTGCAATTTCAACCCGTTTGATTCAGCTTAAATATTTGTCTGTCAAGATGCTAACAGATGTCGACCTCTTCAGGATGGCTCCTCCAACGCGCACGACTCCGAATCCTGATCCGCGACCACCACCTCCACCTCCGGAGGCATGGCAAGTTGTGATGGCCGCTACCAATGCAAACACGCAGCTGATCATGCAACTTCTTCAAGAGCGCAACCAAGGGAACCAGGGCCATGGCAACAATCAGAATCAGTTTGCTACACTCAACCAGTTCCTCGCTAATCAGCCAAAGATCTTCAACAATTGTGTTGAGGCAACAGACGCTGATGATTGGCTCGTGGACATATGCAAGCATTTCGAGTGCAGTAACGTCAGGCCTAAGGACTTTGTCAAGTTCGCCTCCTTCCAACTCAAGGACCAAGCTGCAGAATGGTTTCAGCAGTACAAAGATTCCAGAGGAGGCCGTGCAATTACCTGGGATGAATTCCGTCAAGACTTCAAAGCTCATCATATTCCTCAGAGTGTGGTTGAGAGAAAGCGTGAGGAATTCCGCAACCTGAAGCAAGGCACTATGTCTGTTTACCAGTACAACATCATGTTTCAGAAGCTCGCCCGTTTTGCTAAGCAAGACGTCCCTGACGAGAAGAGCATGATATATCAGTTCAGGGGTGGTCTCAGAGAAGAACTCCAACTTTCTCTCGTCCTCTTTGAGCCCAAGAAGTACGATGAGTTCTACAACATGGCAATGAAGCAAGAGACTGCTCAACTGAAGTGCGATGCTTCCAAGAAGCGAGTCAGAGATGCAACTCCTTCTTCCTCAACTCAAGTGGCCAAGCAGCAAAAGTATTGGCTGCCTCCTCCTCCATTTCGTCAGCCCCTTATCAGCAGAAGAGCAAAGGTGGCAGTGGATCTTCCCACCCACCCAACCCTGGCTTTCAGAACAAGACTTCGTCTCAAGCTCCAAGATCAAGTGCTCCGTATCATCGTCCGCTCTCGGAGGTCACGTGCAACAAGTGCCAACAGAAGGGTCACTATGCCAACAAATGCTTCAATCAGAGGCGTCTCCCTCCTCCTCCTCCTGTGAGATCTGCAAGTACAGCTGTGGTCAAGCATAACCCCAAGCACGCCAAGGTCAACTTGATGAATGCAACTCAGGCAGAGGACTCGTCAGATGTCATCATGGGTAACCTTCCTATTAACAATGTTCCTGCAAAAGTACTTTTTGACACTGGTGCATCACATTGTTTCATCTCGAGACCTTTTGCATCTAAGCATGAATTGTCTTCTCAAGTTTTGCATAAACCATTAGCAGTTGTCTCACCGGGTAAATGTTTGCTCGCAAACTACGAGATTCCGGATATTTCTATCATGATGGGTGATTTCAAGTTTCTGGCTTCTCCAATGGTCCTTGGTAACTCAGATATTGATCTTATTCTTGGAATGGACTGGCTTTCAAAGCACAAGGCTCAGCTTGATTGTGCCGCCAGGCAGATTCAATTGACTCATTCATCTAAGGATGTAATTGTCTTTGCCGCTCGGGATAATACAATCCGTCTGTTTTCTCTTAATGAGAAGGGCAAGCTGGATGCCATCTCTCAAATTCCAGTCGTTTGCGAATATCAAGACGTCTTTCCAGAAGAGCTTCCAGGAATGCCTCCGCACCGGCCAGTTGAATTTGTCATCGATCTTGAGCCTGGCATGCAATCTGTTTGCAAACGTCCTTACAAGCTTGGACCTGAAAAGTTGAAGGAGCTGAAGAAGCAACTTGATATTCAAGAGCGAATGGGTCTCATCCGACCTAGTTCTTCTCCGTGGGGTTGTGGAGTTCTTTTTGTGAAGAAGAAGGATGGAACGGACCGACTCTGTGTCGACTACCGTCCATTGAACAAGAAGACTATAAAGAACAAGTACCCACTTCCCAACATCAACGAGCTGTTTGAACAACTCAAAGGTGCTCAAG